TGATGAAGCTATACACGGATTATATCAGCAAGAACCAGCCCAAGCGGGCCAAGTTCCTCCCCTTCGCACATTTGATCACTCAGATTCTCAGGGACGAGCATTATCCTTTCCATCCGCAGGAGCAGCTTGAGACTGGGGCATGCCGCTATGGCAAGAAGGACTGGAATAAGAGTTACAAGGATCTTATTAAGAGTCTACAGAAGGAGGCAGTCTTGGTAGCTGAGGAGGTAGAGGTAGAGGAGGTGGCAGTAGCAGCTGAGGATCCCGCAGACGCACCGGTGGCAGAAGGCGCTTTCATAGACATTAACTTGGAGCAAGAGCCTCTAGAGGAGTCACCACATCACTCTCCAGCAGGGTCAGCACTTAATTCTCAAGAGTAGAGTCAGGGTGAGCATCAAATTCCCGATCCCGCCATTCCTGACGCTCTAGCTCAGACACCCAGCTTGGGGCAGCGTATCCAGATACTAAAGGATGCGGTCGTCTCCCTCCGAGCAGATGTGGCCTCTCTCAGAATAGATGTGACGACTCTCTGTGCGGATGTGCTGACTACGCTGCAGAGTCTTTCCAAAAATATCCGGGGTTCATGCCCCGCTAGACCGACTTCTTCTACTTGATCATTTTCTCTCATTATCATATATATCTATGATCTTTGACTGCTATTTTGATACTGATACTATATTTTTGCGGCCAGTCTGTAAGCCCAACTACTGTGATGTACATTATACTGTTTTATTTTTATTCATGATATTTTGGATGTCAGATTCTTTTATTGATACATCTATTGTTCATTGACTCCATTATCAGGTACATCCCAGTGACTTCAGTAAGAGAGTGCTGCCCAAATTTTTTCGGACCACCCTTATCTCTTTCTCTCTTTATTTCATTTACTATCCCACTTGCACTTGCATATCCACTGTGCACCGTTATTATCCCCTTGTTATCTGATGAGGTTTTATCCCAGTGCTATCTTTTCAAGACCACAGTTAATCCCAAGTTGGGGGGGAGGGGGGGGGGGGAGGGGGTTGCACCACCCACTTCGGATACTTGTGTTCCGGCCATTTTTTGCCATAGCTGCACTAGTATACTCTTTCCTCTTTCTGTTATTTTCTTTGCACATTGAGGACACTGTGCCATTTAAGTTTGGGGGTAATGTGTGTTCTTTACATCCAATTAAGATTTTGAGCATAACTTGTGTATTTGAGGGATTTTTCTATAACTAATCCATAACTAACTATGATTTTGATCTTTTGAGGACTGCATTGCTTAAAATTTAAAAATTGCTTGACTTGAAAGTCCAATACTCCTTGTATGCCTTGAGGATGCCATTTAGGAGTTAATTTTTTAAAAGATTAATATCTTGCTTGCATTTGTGGTCCACATCATCTTGATTTTGTGATTGTTTTGAGATTCACTCTAGGATTCTACATTAGCACAGGAGCACACTAGCATTCATTTGTGTGGTATATGCTTTGTTGATTATTGATTTGGTTATATCCTAATTGAGCTAGTAGTGCATTAAAAGCTTTCATTCTTGATAAAGGTGGATAACAAACCCTTTTCACTTAGTAACAGGGATTCTAGCCTCATCAAGCACTGAATTTCTTGTGTCGAAAGATGGAGGGCCTAAACTCTAGGTTAATAACTTTACTAAAAAAAGAAGTTGTTGTAAAAGTAAATAAAAAAGTGAGAAGTGGGAAATGATTAGATAGAGGTTGTTTTGATTTGTAACCTAGTTGATTTGAGCTTGTAAGTCCTTAGGGGTGTTTAAACACCTAATGCCCTAAAGCCATTCGATTTGGGAGTCATTGACCTAACACTCGACCTCATGGATCGCTAAATAGCTTAATAGATCAACACATTGCATTATGCTTCCATCTTTGATCCTTAGGGATAAAAAAAAAAAAGAAAAAAAAAAAGAAAAAAAAAAAAAAAGAATAAGCGTACCTAGATCAATAAAGCGTTACTAAAAGGTTCACTCTTTGTCTTAATGATCGGTACTAGATTTGTGTGCTAGTTTGAGGGTAAGGATGTGATAATTTCTTTAGTTGGCTTAGATATCAACATATTTGATGCTGGTTCACTTAAAAAGGATTCTAGAGTTGTTTTGATTTGCATGATCATTTTCTTAATGTGTGGAGGACTATATTTGCTTGCTTGATATTGAGATTTTGGGAAATTGCTTGGAAATGATTGAAAAATTGCATACTTGAGGTAGTTTTCTCCCAATACTTGTTTGGAATATTGGTGCCTCTTTAGTGAGAATGAGCTTAATGTTTGTGGGTATCATTTCTGGAAACCCTCACGAGACTTCACTCGTCCACTAAGGGTAACCTAGGGGTTTAAAAGGCTTGTTGTATGTGTTAAATGCAATCGTGTTCCCTACGAAAGTGGCGTTATCCATTTATTACTTTCTAGTTCATAGTTGTATAGTTGTTTATTTCTTTATTTCCTTTGTAGTTCATTGCTAGGGACTAGCAATATTTAAGTTTGGGGGTGTGATAAGCGCTGAAAGTGCGCATTTAAATCCCTTAAGCTTGAACGTTCTAGAACCTTATTCTATCTTATTTTCCCGTTTTAGTCTAATTTCATGTTATATCCCTTTGCAGGTACTTATCCCCAAAATAAGTCAATTCAGCTGAATTAAAGCATAAAAGATGTAATCTCAAGCTTAGTGGAAGAAAGTAGTAAAGTGGAAGCAAAGTGGTGAAAAACAGCATTCTTCGATCGATTGAACCAAACTCCGATCGATCACATAGTGATCATTTCAACCATGCCAATATGGATCAAGCCTTTTGTCCTTATCCTCAGGAAATTTTCCTTTTCAATCGATCCAACATTCCTTCGATCGATCGGACATTTTTAATCTTATCCCCACCTACCACTTTTGTCCTTTTCCCAAAATATCCCGAAAATATCTTGACTTTGTCATTATTCCAAAAAGGCCATAGTTCGATCGATCGAACCACCCTTGTGATCAATTGAACCTCCTTAAGTGCGAGAAAAATTGAGTCTAGCCAATTAAAAGGTGTGCTCGTGGTGCAATTATTTGGAGGTCCTAGTGCACGAGGTCTGACCATTAGGTGTGACATTTGAGCTACCTATATAAGGTTTCTGGCCATTTTTACAATATAGAGACTTTAGAAGGGAATCATATAGAATATAGAGGTTGGAAGAGTCTAGAGATTAGAGAGAGATACACACCATTTTGGAGAGTTCTTCCACTCATCTAGAGTTTCTATCAAGGAGAAGAAGATCATTTCTACCATGAAGATAGCCCTTGAGGGTTGGATGACTACATCAATGAGTGGTTAAACCATTCTCTTTGGCCTAGATATAGCCCTAAGCATGCCTTCTAGACTTTGATGTTTTGTTATTAAAGGGGATTTGTGTTGTAATTATTGTCTTGACATCTTATATATATAAATCTTGTTTTTACAATGATTTGTGTGGCTTAATACTTTCAATTGATCATTTAATTCTATCCATATGTCTATGTATGTTAGGATGAATATTCATGTGTTTATTTCTAAATTTTGTGACATTGATGCATGTTTATGTGTGTTGATAGTATGAATTTAGTGATGGTCAAGGCATGGTGCTTAAATAGATTACTCTTGTGATTTATTTGATGGTTCATACTTATTTCTTGATGGATTGTGCCACACCTTGGTTTAATCTTCATGTCACTAGCTTAGTTTTAGTGTAATTGCCTTACTTTCTTAGATAGGTGGACAATCTATGCTTGTTGTTTGATATTCCATACTTATGAATGCAAGTAGTATATTTCTCTAATTTGATGATATGCATTGATTGTGAACTTAAAGGAAGGAATAATGGCTTAATTTGATATGTTATGCTATTCACTAGTTTGGCTAGACAATGTATACTTACTTAATCATCAATGCTTGTTGATTCAATTAATGACACACAATTGTATTGTAACATATAATCTCCCTTATCCATTAAACATTGAGTGTCTAGGAAGGTTATGTTTAGTGGTGACCTCTAAGTCCCGAGATCCCTGTCTTATATTCCTTACATTTCATTCTACTTCAATTGTTTTACTTTGCATTCATTTAGTTTACATTTTAGTTTAATTAACCAATCAAAACATTTTTGATCACTCGACCTACTAATCCGACTTTGATTTCTAAGCTAAATACACTCCATTTCCCTAGGGACGATCCCTACTCACTCTAGCTATATTTATAGTTAAAAGTGGTAACTTGGCCACACTACACTCTTTTTTGCAACTAGTGCTTGAGTCGACACCACCGGGCAGTCAACCGACATTCCAAGCTATCGTGCCGTTCTCCGTAAATGACGAACAAACCCACTGATCGCCGGTTAATCCTCAGCATCTTCCATTGAAGCATTGCCCTTGCTCTCCTTGTTTGTCCTTGCCTTCTATTGTTGTATATGTGTATCTATTCGACCTTGCTTTCTGTTACTGTATATGTGTATGTAATGTGTATATATTTGTCTGTGATAAGAATGGTTTTTTTGTCTTTTCCATTCAACTCTAAATTTTTATAAATATTAGTAATATATAATTGATGGGCAAAATTGTAAAATTACACAATTCAGTTAGTAAAATAAACTACCATCATAGTGAAAGGAGGTAAGTGGAATATTGAAACCTAGAAGGAGTGTAAGTGAGATATGGTCAAAGACCAGGAATATAGGTGGAATTAATCCAAAAACCTAACTCCATTAAATAAAAAAAAAAAATAAAAAAAAAAATTGATCTAACCATTAAACATATATTTGTCAAAAAGAATAGGGAAAAAAAAAAAAAAAATCCATTTACATTTAAATTCATCCATACATTTTTTTTTTTTTTGTCCACAAACATATAAAATTACATCTATCCATTCACAATCAATATGGTCTGTGAATAATGTGACGTGGATCTTCCGGAAAAAAACATAAATAATGTGACGTGTGCGTGATTACCTGGTTGCTACATATCATCAACATTCAAGTATATCATTTTCCGAGGCAACGCATGCGCACACGAAGTTCTTTGTCACATTTGAACTGAACGGTCTCCCTTTCTCTCTTTCTAGTTTCTGCATCTATACATATACATATACATATATACATATACATATACATATACATAGCGATAAACATACAGAAATCAGAAAAATGAAGCGTTCCGGTGACGATATTTGGGCGCACGACGACCTGGAATTCCGATCAACAGTGGACGACGCTTGGTACAGCGTCCGAGTGGTTCTCGAAAGCGAGTCTTTCACAGTCAAATTTGTGGACTTCACCGAAGCGATGAACGAGAGATTCAATGCCGGCGATTTCCAGACCCTCCAAGCCGTCGACGACTTTGTTCGGCGGTTTCGACCTGTTTCGACTCAGTCACAGGACAGCCAGTGCTCCAAAATCGTCCAAGGCTTGTCGGTCTGCTCCTCATTTGAATTCAAATGCGACGACGTTCGCTTCTACGACGCCGTCGTCGAAGCGGTTAGTACTTTATATCTTGATTTCAGGCTGAATTGTGTACCAAGAGAATAATTGTATGAGAGGGACGGTTTCGAGTATCATTATAAATTGAGTGGGGAATTTTAAAGATTTTCAAAAAAAAAGAAAAGAAAGAACAGTTTTAAGATTTTCATAAAATTTATAGGTAATTTCGTATAAAAAAAGAAAAAGAAAATTAGTTGGGGCAGGGTCTGTGCCTGTATATATATATAGATATACACACACACACATCATACTTGTTATGAATATCTAGAAATGGGTATGTTCATTCTTTGATTCTGACCAATTTTATATGTAGTATAGATCCAGAATTGGGTTTTTGTTACAAACTTTGATTGAAAATTTGATTATAACTAACTTTTAGACCTCCTACTTTCTATCTTGTTCTTGTTATGAATATATAGAATTTGGCCTTTCAAATATGTGGCGTTTATTTGGCCTTTCATATCTTGGAGTTCGGGAGTTTGAACCTCTTGGGGCCACTCCCAGGTAATTTTGCCGCTGGGATGGGGGACTGTCCGGTGGTGGATTATGGGGGAGCTCTAAGAGGCTAGACAGTAGACACACCATTGTCAAAAAAAAAAAAAAAATAGTATAGTGGTAACAAACTAATTAATTTTATTTTTAGGGTTTCCTCCACTGTAATGTTGCATGGACTTGGATTTGATAGGTGCACTATGAGGAGCATTCATTTGCGAAAGAAGAGGAGTGTATGTGCACCTTTGTGCTATGCTGGCAACATGGTCCAAATTTGGGTAATCTGTCATTGGCGAAAATTGCTAATATATGCATAATCCAATCTGCTGGTCAACCTGATTTCAGAGTGGCATCCTTTGCAAAGATGGCAAAGGAGAAACTTGAAATTTCATCTCATAAATCTGGTGCAATTTATGAAGGTGGCTTTTCATTGGGTAATAAATCTAATTATGGTACACGAAAAAAGACTAGCCTAGGGCACGAGGCTCCGGCCACTGCAGGGTCTGGGAAGGGTTTGTCTCGCCATGGGCTGCAGGCAAGTTATTGTCTATAATGTTCTAATTTATTTATTTTTTTTTTTTTATTTATTTATTTTTATTTTTTAGTGCAATGGAAACCAAATAACTATAAACAAAATTTTAAGTAGAGTTTAAATTTAGTATTGCATACATGATCTTAGTTTGAACTATGTTTGCTTGTTTTGTAGAAAACAGAGAGTGCTAGGCAGTTTGGTAGTGCAGTAAGAACAACTGAAGGTTTGACCCTAATTTCTTATGTGTTATAAAAAATAAAGTACCCTAATTTATTATGACAAAGCACATCCTCTATTTCTTCTTTTCATGTAAAGGCAGGGTGGTTAAGGACTGATCAAGATCGAGACCTTGGTGGGGAATCTGTAAACATGAATGGCACTGAGGAAACTTGCTGTCACCATTTTATATTATTGGAGAATTTGGAGACAGATTTGTCCCCGTTGTCAATTACGGAATTCATACAAAAACAAACTTCTATCAGGCCACTAGCATATGTTTTTCCAAGTTTGTCATCAGAGACATTTGCAAAGGGTTTAATTGGATTGGATTGTGAAAAGAAGCATAAGAACGTATATCAGTTTTTAGATAATCCCGATCACTTTATAATGTCTACAAAAGGAAGGTATGTCTTATCATCATTAAAACCTCTTTGTTCATAATGTATTCCTTTATTTCCATTTTTCCGTCCTATGGTCACTTTGTTGGCATTGTTGTAGTCATTTAAAATGTCTAGTTGTTTTTCAGCTCATTGATGCATTATTTTTGTAAAGTTTGGTTCCTTAATACTGGTTCAGAGAAAGCTCAAATTGAAATGTTATCAACTTATCATCTCTCTCTCTCATACGCACACACACACACACACACACAGAGATACATCTATGAAAGTACAAAGAATTTCCTCCAATTACAGAGAGAGAATTTTTTCACTCCCAATGCTTTCTAATCTCTTTTCCCTCTCGATTTCCCTTATTTATAGACGGTTACAACCTCCTTTGGCCTGGGCCTTATCTACTCCCTTTTGCCTGGACTCAACTTTTCTCATTTTAATATGGGCTTTTGTAATGACTTTATGGATCTGGGCCCATCCCGCGTGAACTTGCTCCATCTTGTCTGTCCATACCCGACCCGTCCTTTGCAATATGGATCATACCAAGCCCGGGTCATTTTGGTGTCCTCAATCTAGTTACACATGTGCGTGTATACATTCGTAGTCATGTCTGATGTATTTTTGTATTGTAATAATGTGGTCACTCGCCCTGTCAATATTACCGGGTGCTAAATATCACATATAATTTATTGTAATGTGGTCACTAGCCTGGTGAAACAAAAATGATAGCATGTCAATATTACTCTGCGATCCGGATCGGGATTTTAATGACCATGGTTAACTGGGAGGATTCTCTTGGTACACTCACAAGCATTTATGTTTTTCATAACTATATCTGTTTTTGTTCTAAAAATCGTATATACTTTCCAGTTGCAACTTATATATGCTATAAGGATTCGGGAGTTACTTGAAGAAAATGTAGTGTGTTTGCTTTTTCAATGTTCCATAAGTACACTTATTAATTCATTTCTGCAGGCCATGGGTTATCAGTGAAAAATCATTAAGGCATGGAACTTTTAGAACAAAATTTGAGAGTTTGATAAAATATCAGGTAAGAAAAGCTTTATTTATTGCATCAGTGCATGATATTGATATTGGTGGATGATTGAGAGAGAAGTAGGTTTTTGTCTGTGTAAAATAAACTTATGAAAATGAATAAATTAAAGCATTTGGATATGGCGATGTAGAATCAAGTAACGAGAAATGGAAGGAGAGAGAATGTAACAAGAATGAGGAAAAAGAGAAGAAGAAGAGAAGGAAGAAATCAGAATGAGGGAGAAGAATCACAATAATATCTCAACAATGTCTGAACCAACATATAAATAGGCATCAAAGAAAAACCCTAAAATCCTATTACTATAAATAAAATCCTAAAATCCATAATTCTATCTTTCTTTTCAGGTCTCCAATAGTAGGTGTGGGTCATGTGAACTTCAAGCTTTCGGACCATGCCCGGTGCTCCATCATATGGTCAATTTACATACTTCTTTTTAGAATGTATGATAACAAATTTTAATATGAAAAGAAATAAAGAAGCTATATGAGCTTCTAGGTGGAATACTGAGGCTGCTTGCCCTATATGTTATTGTATGATTGTTCATTAATTAGGGAGGGAGTGAAGTTGGTAAATTTACGTGATGGAAGAGAAAATAATGTTTTGGTAAATTTACAGCAGGAGTTTGAGTTGATAAAAAGACGTGCCTAAATAAGAAGGCTAAGAAGCACAATTTTAGAAAAGTTAACCATTCTATTAGGCTCCGTTTGTTTGAACGTAATGTATTTTTTGTGTTTTTGGTGTTTGGTTGTCGTAAAATATTTATGAAGAAAAGAATATTAAACTCAACAAAAATAACTTATCTATCAATTTTCATCAAGTTATTTTATACGTCCCACCCGATGGACTCGACCTTAACCTAGACCCTTGCCAAACACTGAAAAATAAAAATAAAAGATAATATTTTACATGAAAAAGAAAAATATTTTTCTATGAAAATATTTTATGTCAAAACAAACGGAGCCTAAATGTCAACTGTGGACTTTGTATTTCTTTGATAATAATTTTCATCATTTACTTTTGCAGCATAAAATTCAGAATAAAATCATTGATGATGAGTTAAAGATAGTTCATTCAGGAACTGAAGAGTACAGGACAGCTACATGTCTAAGGGATTTATACAAGGAGTTTGTGGATCATCAAAAGCGACTTCATTGGAGGTTAACTTTGGAGGAAAGGGAGATATTGCAGTTGAAAGATTAAACATTGGCTCTAGTGAATATGTCAACACATGAAGGTAAGGAATTGGAATTGTTATACTACTTGTAGTAATTAGTTATAATTGATGACCTATAAAATTTAAAGCTAATTTTGATATGTGTGATTTGTGACCGCTATCAACTCAAAATGTGCATGTAGTGTATCAATACAGTGGTGGGAGGTCAATGATGGAAATGAGTCGAGAAGTTCAGCTCATTTACCTTGAACAGAAAGCCTTTCATATAGTCCTTGTAGGTGAGAAATTATTACATAGTCCTGGGACCAATGTCTTGGGCCAATCATGTGCTGAGAAATAAGCAAATGTGTCATCTTTGTGTCAGTTTTATCTCAATTTTTGCTTGTGTCTGCACATGATTTGTTGGGACCAATGGTTTTCCTGTGATTCTCCTTGTAGGTTGGGTCCCTGAGCTTCTTATATGAAGGCGATCAGTTTTGTTTTGAATTTTAGCTACGGTATATGGCTATCTAATGAAGGCAGCTGCTGATATTAGCAAAAGTGAAATTACACAGAAGTCCTGAATCACTCTGCATATTTGCCCTTCTGTATTAGTCTATGACTCTTCACACATCCCTCATAACCACACTCTTTCACCTAGTCTGCGTCTCTCTAAAAGATATCCATGTTTTTTCTTCCACTTCAAGTTCCCTAAAATCACCCACTACAACTTCATATCCCCTTATATATCTCCACATATATATATATGTGTGTGTGTGTGTGTGTGTGTGTGTGTGTGAGTACGTCTCATAGATTTCAGAACTTGTCTGGGTTTTTCTTTCACAGTGAGCACCAAACTTGGTCGGTGGTCTCTCAAATGGCGCAAGCTTTGAGTTTCAAAGGCTACAAGTTCGTCTATCTTGATTTCTTTAATTTGATATTTGATCTCAATTTTTCTTTTCGATTTGTTGAAGTTAATCAAAGTGCATACCATCTATTTGGAGACAATTACGACGTAGAGGGAGGGACTCGAAAAATCACATTGTTGTTCATCAAGGGGATACTTCAGCTCACCAATATTTTTATTGACAAAGTATAACGAGCTTCAATCGGTGCCATTCGCTGAGGATATTTCCGTTGATCCCCATCGGCGGGGCGGAACAAAACGGATTTATGATTGGAAGTTTTGAAGATTCTTATGTCAAATAACCTTAGGATAATTGTGGAGCGCTAATATCAGCAGCCCTAAAGAAAGAGATATGATATATTTGCGAGTACATTGTGCACTTGGTATTTCTGCATATTTTGTTGGTCGATTTTACACTTGCTAATTTTTTTTTGGATATACTGCTACTTTACAAATATAAAGATGCAGAATGGAAATTATCCAATAAAGAAGCATCTAATTTTGCTTGGATACATAGCTATAGGTTTTATATTATTGTCCTTTGAGCATGTTAACATCGTTAATATTACTATTAATGCCCTTGTTTTCTCTGTGTTTATAGATTGACCAGCAGGATGTTCTCTTTAGTTTGCAATCATTCAGGGACGGAGCTCCGAAATTCCGAATATTGGCTTACTTGGGGGGCAACAGGAGTGCATTTTGCAGCTTAATACTGTGGTTTCAATGTTATAGCTAGTTAGCATGACATGTTGCCGCTTGTATGATATGAGAACATGAGTGGGTTGTGTTTTGTTTTGTAGTTTGTGGATGGTACCCTATATTCACTTAACCAGAAATTTCATCAATGCTAGCAAACATACAATTTTCCTCGTCTCTATACATGCATTCCCTTGTGCTATTGTGTGATGGAAATGAAAGTGTGAATGTAGTTTTTATTTATTTATTTTTATTTTTTATAATCCTGACAAACTAGGGGAGACTCGAATACGGGCACATTTTACCAACTAGAACGTGAATGTGGACTTATTTGTTTGCTTCTTCTACTTGACCAAAACTGCTTCCTGCAAGCATAAATTCTTATCTAATCCTTACACATGCCCTGTTTTGCAGCTACGGACATCATAAACCTATTCACTAACTAAACAGCCAACGCAAGTTCAACATTGATCTTGACTTGATTGGTTTGGGCACAATGGACTGTTACTTATAATCGGGTTAAATACACAAAACCCTCTTGAACTTTCAAAATTATACTCGTTAACTTGGTTGTGAAATGACAAAATTGGCTTTAATATTTACTATTAAATTAAATTGGTGATAATTTTAAAATTGTTTTTGTAATTTTAAAATTGTAAGGTCAATTTTATAATTTAATATTAAATAATAATTTTAAATTTTAAACAAATTTGTAATTTAACAATATTTGATGATCTTTTATTATTTACGTAATTTTTAAATAATAATTTTTAGTATTTTAATTTAATATTAAATAACAAGGTCAATTTTATCATTTCAATATCAAGTTAACGGGTTGGGCAATTGGATAACTTTTTTTAGTTTGGGAGTTTTTCAAAATTCTACTGAAGTTTTATGTAAAAATTTGTGATTTTAACCCTTTATACTTTATAATAATATTTAAAAAAGAATTAGACATGATTTTGCCATGTCATATAACTTGGACGATAAAATAAGAGTGAGACTCGTTGATATTCCGGTGAGGTGAGAATAGGAAATTTAATTATTAAAAGGTAATAAAAAGGAATGTGAACTCCATTAGAATAAGGCAGTAGATATTCTGGTGAGAAGTGAAAATTTAATTATTAAACGTGAGTAATAAAAAGGAATGTGGACTCCATTGAAATTGGAAAAAGGATGTTGATGACAAACGACTTTGGTAGGGCGTTCAACGTTAACTTGCGCTGTTGGTTTGTGGTGTCTTTTAAGCCAATAACGGAATATATTTGAATCATTTGATTAATGCATGCATAATTTTATTACTGGATGTCTAATTTTATAATTTGCATGCATATTTATATCAATACTATTAAAAGTATAAAGAATTTCAATCTATTAATATGTTTCAGTACATTATTTTTTAATAATAAATGTATATGTTTCTTTTTACAATTCAATTTATATGTATAATATAAGGTGTTTAGAAGAGTTTTTATAAAATTCAAATTACCTATTTATTATGAATTTTTTAATAAAAAAAATTAATTAGATAAGAAAATATATAAAGAAAATAAATAATTTAGTCTTTCTAGTTAGACAATGAAATATATAAAATATATAAATAATTTAGTCTATTTTATAAATAATATGTAAATAATTTTCTAATATATTTATTATGAGTTTTTTAATAAAAGGAAATCTAATTAGATAAGAAAATATATAAAGAAAATAAATAATTTAGTCTTTCTAATTAGACAAGAAAATATATAAAAAATATAAATAATTTAGTCTATTTAGTATCCACATATTTTCTAATTTTATAAATAAAATATAAATAATTTTCTAATATATAAATAAATAAAATATTAGTAAGTTGTAATAAAAAAATAGTCTTGATTTTGATATTGTTTTAGAAGTTTGAAAATACACCTATTAATAATTGAATTCATATTGTAAAATTCAATTAAAAATTATTATTATTATCTTTTTTACCTTGTGTCAATTTTATGTTCATGGATACTTTAGAATTTACAATTATTTAATTACTTTGTTAAATTTAACTTTAAATTAGATTTTACTAACGTGTAACACACATACAGTTTTATTAGTGTGTGTGTGTGTGTCTATATATATATATATATATATATATATATATGGTGAATGATTTTTAATAAATATTACTACAAATAATTTATGTGCATCAAGTGAATATAAATTCTAAGTAGATATAAATCATAAATACTATTTGGGTAAATTACAAAGACTTCCCTTGAGGTTTGATGTAATGACTATGTCTTCTTTTTCCTTCTCCGATTTTCTGTCTTTTTTATTTTATTTAATTATTTAATTGTTTAATTTATTCTTTTTCCGCGTTGCCTTAGGGTTTTATTGCGCCCTAGTAAGCTTCGGTGTTCGGAAATGATTTCTGACACCATGTGCATTGCATTATATTAACTTTTACAGTTTGCATATGTCTTAATTTCATTGTAAAGTTTGCCCGTTTATTTTAAAATTCCAGGGGTATGGATGCATGGTTTCTTCTGAGACATTTTCGATTTTTGGGGTGTTTTGCGTAATTATGTTTTTGAGATATTTTGTCTTAGGAACTTTTGTGCAAATATTCTTTGAGATATTTTGTGGAGGGACTAAGTTGCAAATAGGGATAAGAGTGACAAATGACACTCTCCCATTGAACCATGTGTTGACTAGCTATTGGTGCACTTTTTAACTTAGATTGTTGACAAATGTAAAGCTAAGATCAAACCTTGTGAGGAAGCCTAGAGTAGTGACAAGTGGAGGGTAGATGTGTGTGTGAGAGAGAGGTAATGTTGGTGCGTGTGTGTTTGGCTAACAAAGCCATTGTTAGTGGGAAAAGGTGTGAAAATTGTTACATCCTCTCAAAGCCACCATTGTAGCCACCATAGACCCTCTTCTCCATTTTCAGAATTCAAACCCTTTCCTATAGGAATTTTGCGATACCCCTCAATTCTATAGCCACGGGTGATCAAGTCCGAGTACAGATCCGAGGGATATCAAACAATTAAAGTATTTAATCGAACACAAAATACAAAATGAATTAAAAATATATAAATAAGTGGAAAGAAACTAAATAATAAATCTTTAAATTAATAAATAAATAATACTCCAAATGAAATATCCAAAACCTCCGATATTGTTACAATTCGAGAATCCATCTAGTGGACCCCTAATAATATCCCAACTGAAAAAAAACTTAAATAAAATATAATCTGAAACTAAAACATGAAGAAGAATCCTACGTAAAATCGGAAGAATGATGTGGATTGTCTCTGCTCAGCACGAACAAGCCCTATGTCTAAAATTGATAAACACCTGAAAAATAATAGTGGGTTAGGCCCACGAACAAGTTCTTTCTACGACAACCCAAACAGAGACCAGAGAAACTACACATCTATAGTTAACCCATGCAATAATTACGTAGTCCATAAATATATATACACACTAAAGGAACCTCACTAAACTATAGGGTTGCCTCAATCTCAATAGTAGGTAACATGTAAAACACACATATAGTGGGCATGAGTACCTAGACCTATCAGGGTACACAACTACTCTATATCTAGCTACACATCCCTGGCAATATACGCACCCTAACCACTGATCCTGAGACTCAAACCATATCATGGCACATATCTATACGTCTATAAATAACATCTATCCTATCCAATATAAAGTAAACCACAAAATGTAATCCAACTTGTTCAGTTGACCTGACACGAATATGAGTAGGAATTAACAATTTAGTTAATCTATTCCCTTATACAAAAATAGGTAGGACTTAACTGATAAGTTAATCCATCCCTAGAATGTCACCATCCCATACTGGTGCATTACATTCATACAATCCAAAAACTGATGTAACAGATAAATTAATACATCAAATAATCTAGAAATTAACATAATAACAGAATATCATGCTATCACAAAATAGGAATGACTTATAATTTCTTTAAGCTTCGTACATCATGTATCCCACACAAACTGAATCTTAAACATGCTGACATTTTATTTCACAGTCAAGTAAGCATTCTCTAAATACAATTCATACTAAACATTTAATCTCAATTGCTAAAACAAAATTAAAAGATCAAATCCATTCATTCTTTAAAACATTCCAATAGCATGCATCGTTATGATTAAGTTTATTTAAAATTTATTTAAACCCATACCTAGTCCCTATTTAATGTTCGGGACCCCTCAAAATCAATTAAGGACAACTTACACGATGTTTACAAAAATTCCCAAGTAAGGCTTGAGCTTTTATCCTAATAGCTCGATCTTCCTATCTATGGCTCGAGCTTTTCAACAATAGCTCGTGCTTTGCATCCAAGGCTCGAGCTTTTCAACTATGGCTTGAGCTTTTCGTCCATGGCTCGAGTTTTGCTTCCAAGGTTCAAGTACTGTAACAACGGATTGAGCACTATTTACGCGAATCAGCCCAAAAATTCTATTGTAAATCTGTTCTTCACTGTTAAGGGTTCTAAGGCATGTTATTAAGTCCCATCAACATACAAGCATGAAATTACATCATTATAACATGTAGAAATTTACAAAGAAATCAGATATAACCCATGAATTTATCAATTCACACAACAAGAACAACCATGAATATAATTTATAAAACCTATGTTCTAGATCAATTAATTTATAAATTCCAATTTTAATTGTTCTTAAACAACCCTAAAATTATATTAGAGATATATAGATCAAAGATCAAAGGGAGAAGTATAGAACAAGAACTTACCTTAAATTTTCGGATTCAAAGTTAAACTCCTTCCCTGATCTTCTTCTCCAATGGTTCTTCTCCTCCTTCTTCCTTCTTCTTCCTCCTTCTCTCTCTAACTCTCTCTTTAAAATATATTATGTGATATATTTCTATCCCCCTTTTACAACCATATAATAACCCTACTCTTTTTCCCAAACCAAGTCAACTTAAGAAAAAAAAAAAAAAAAAAAAAAAATTAATATTAAAAAGGTAACTAAAAATATGTTACGTAAATAATCTATGTATATCCTTATTATATAAATATATAAAAGACATACATCACATTATTTATTAATATTAATGTTACCATAATATTAATTAATAAATTACTTTCCTTTTATATATATATGTATATACATATACAACTATTCGCGGGTAATTATCCATACCCATTAA